TACAACTTCATACAACACCCCTACAACAACTTCATACAACACCCCTACTACAACTTCATACAGCACCCCTACAACGACTTCATACAACACCCCTACAACAACTTCATACAACACCCCTACTACAACTTCATACAACACCCTACAACAACTTCATACAACACCCCTACAACAACTTCATATAACACCCCTACTACAATTTCGTAATACACCCTTATAATAAAACCCTACAACATTCCAACACCATAACTACAACACCATTGAACAATCCTAACATCCTTAATCCAATCCGGCAACGCCTTACAACACCCATTCATCATACATAGAACATACTATATACCCCTAACATAAAACATCACCATTACAACACCCATTAAACATTCTAAAACCAACCTTGCTACATCATACAGCACTCTTCAAACCTCCAACAACACCTCTTAATTCTGATGCATTTTTTGGTATAATTTTCTCAACTTTCAACTGTCTGTCTCTGTACCATCCATGCGCTTACAGATATTTCGAGTTTGAGGACACAATATGTAAGCAGAGCATTGGATTTGCTTTACTTGAATGGAATTTGTTATGGTTAGTTTTTTTTTTATTTTGGTTGAGTTTGAGTTTGTGTAAACATGTAATCGCAGCTTTATACGACTCGAAGTGCGTGTAAGAAAAGGGTCCTTGGTTTATTGTCCGAACGACCAGACGCGGTTTTGATTCTACCCCTCGATTTTATATAACTGGCAATGGGGAATCGGATTGAAATATAATAATAATAATAATATTAATAATAATATATTTATTCAGAAACTTCAAGGCTATTAGCCTATAGTAGGTTTGTTACAATTATAATTATATACATGTACAAAAATTGAACAACATACAAAACAAATACTAATATGTCGATACAAATAAGACCATAGTAGGGTTGTTTCATTTGTAAAAGAATGTATAAAAATTGGAGAATACAAAAATATAATACACAATATACAATAAAATATGATTTATATATATGAACATTTATAACTACATGTCGATATGATCATTTATGAGTTTTTTTTGTATACTTAATACTGTAGAATTTGTTTTCTTATTTCCATACCTTTATTAATAAATATACTTAGATTTCGTATTATTTTGTCATGGTTACAATTGAATAGTTTGATAAGGTTATGCTCATTGGGATTTTGGTAACACCATTTAGGCAAAAAATTATACCTCAAATCATTTAATACAGGACAAAGTAGGATGAAATGTATTTCATTACCATGTTGTTTTGTATTACATATTGTACATATCCTGTTGGCTCGTGCGACATTGTTACGTCTACCATTTTCAATTTCTAGTAGATGGGTAGAACATCTTAAGTTTGCTAATGCAAAACGAAGCTTATGAGAAAGGCATATATAAAGTATGTAATCTATATCTTTTCCGGGGTTGATGACCGAATCTATGATAACCGATTAAACGTCTTAATCCGAGGTCACGCTCCGAACTGTTAAAAAAATCATTCTCTATATACTTATAAATATTATTTGTGGTGCTTATTCAAAAATAAGCGACTCTGTTCAAAGCTTCTCGTAATTTGCTTTCAAATATATTACCAGCCATTACTTTGTTTTTCTATAAAAAACAATTACAATTCATATATTTAGTATGCTAATTAAATAGTCATTCTTCTCTTAAAGTGTTAATACAATTGTCAGGTTTGTGGTTTTGTGCTGAAGGGAAAAACTCTTTGTGGATATTATGACCAATGGAGAGTTATAACTTCATGCTTTATCGACGATACTTTTCATATTTGTTGATGAAAGTAAAATGGTTTTTACAAGCGTTCTCAAACAAAAAAGGACAAAGTTTAAGGAAAAGTGTAAAGAAATATTTAACTGATATTATGACGTCACTTTCTCAAAAGCTGCTAATCATTATCTAAGGATCTTTGCGATAGCTTCGTCATAAAAGAACCACGAACCTCTGACTAAAAAGTGAAATTGTCGGAATCAATGCCATCAGTGTCGCCGATACAAAACAAATTTAAAGTTAAGTTTATGTGGTTTTGCAAGAAACCACAAGCGACTGATTGGAAATTAGAATTCTGCAAATTGATGCTACACACATTTAAGCAAACCTCTTTACAATCCCCCTAAGAAAGCCTACGATAAATTTGTTAGTAAGCGTCTAAAATTACATAAAACATAAAATTATCAACTTATGCCAAGGCACCAAGGCTTTCAAGGTGGTTCAACTACTTTAAAAGAGTATATATCTCAGAGTGCATAGGAACCCCCTTTTCTCCCCGAACAACCCCCCGCCTGCACTCCCTCCGCCTCCACTCCCTCAATATCCTTATATAGTTACCAGCCTTCAAAGTAATAATTTTTCCATATTTAGAAACAAACAAATTTCTGACAGGAATACATGTATATAGAAATATAACCTAGGCGATAAATATGAATTCCAATTATCACCGAACAAATTAACAACTAAGATAGTTGTCTTACCAGGATGTCTAACACCAATTATTGTGTCTTGAGCCGCCATAATTATCTTCAACAGTATTGGCAGAAGCAAGATCAATAGCTATTTAAATTCGTGTCGAAGCACAGGTTTTTCAGTCGCAATTGTGCCCATTAATCTAAAGGACTTATTATTATTATTTATTATGTTTTCTGAAAATATGACTCTAAATATTTCAGTTTTTACGACTGAGGATAAAAATCTAATGGAACCATGGATTTATTACACGATGGCTACGTATTTCCTTATTACAGGTTTGATTTTATTTTGTTAGAAAATTGACATTTTTGCAAATTTTGATCATTAAACATGTTTTTTTTTTTGTGTATGGAGCGTTTTTGATATTAATTTTATCTATTGGGTTGTGGTGAAGCGTCTTGTTGCAAGTGGCACAGACAAAGTTCAGTGGGATTTCGCTAGGATTTTGTTATGACAAGTAGTTTTATTTTTAGTCAAGTCCTTTACTTATGTCTAATGTCAATTGCCATTACAAATCTTCATTATACCGTTTCATGTGAGAGCGTAAGGGCTAATTGCAAGGCCACAGGTGCAATTATTATCTAGTTGTTATGTAAGTATATTGTTGATATATAATTAATACATTCACTAACTACGGTTCTCTGGACGTAATTTAAAAAGCAGGATTCTGTGATTCCCGTTTTTGGTATATTTGGGAAAAAACGTGTCCACCCTTTCCATTAAATATAGAATTGGATACTGTTTGTACGATATATAGAAATAGGCATAGGTAAAGAAGCACAAGATATAATGATATATACTATTTCTGACATTTATTAACGCTGCTTGTATGAGCATGTGAAACTTTGAGTTAATAAATATCAGAAATAGTATATCCATATATCTTGTGCTTCTTTATAGAATTGGACTTCAAATTGAATTTAAATATTGTGTCTGCTACGTTGCTATTTGAGTCATTCATGCTTTCTTTTTGCATTCAGTGCACATACTCTAAAAAGGTGAACAATTTTGTACGGATGTTTTTCTATGCAGTTTCTAATGGGAGTCGTTAAAGATTGGTTTCCTTATTTATGAAAATGAAAATACTAATACTTATATGAATAGAAAGTAGAGGTGTTCTAATGACTAATGAAAAATACATGTCCATAATTAATTCATATTAGCTAAATTAGAAGAGAGTAACCAACAGAATTCCAATGGGTGAAGAAAGGTCAAAAAGTCTTTTTTTTTTCTTTATCCAGACTGTACATACATGGATATTTATGATTGGTTAAAACTCTTAATTATATTAATAAGAACATAATGATATGATTAAGAATACATGATAATTCATTAGAAACACCAATTAATGAAATAGTTTGCTTAATTTGACACTAAAAAATAAGGAAACGTATCTTTAAATGGATATATTTGCCTTTAGTTCTCAAAATAAATATCTGAAAATCCGATTTATATGTGTAGCCACTTCCTCCTGTAAAATTTGACCGATGACGCTAAAACTTATTGTTATAACATAACATTTTTTCTGTAGTTTAGTAAACGTAGGCTCATACAAAAACACCAAATTTATGTCTTTTACCACATTCAAATCCCCCAAACAATATCGGTAGTGCACTCACTCCCCTCGCACTGGCAACATGTAACCGACGACTATAATGGTGCCATTATACTTAAAGCTTGTGAAAAGCACATTTTTTAGTTAAATTTTTTCTTTATCCAGATCAATACACAGCTATCATAGTGTGGTATATGTCTATTTACCTGGAATGTCAAATAATTGAGTTCCCCTCTACCTTGAACGATTTCAAATCCCTTTCCCCTGATACAACTTCCGGTTTTTGACAGTGAACCGTGATTACTTGTATTTGTACTTTCTTAACAACACCTCACTCATTGCACACGGAAAGATGCCGGACTTCAAAGTCCCAACTTAATAATGAGTAAAGTCCATATGCTCCCGTTGCGTGTTCATTAAACCAGATTCCGGTCGTAGAGAGTCAAACTTGATTAACCTCATTAGTCAGGTGTCTTCCCCTACTGAATTTATATTAGAAACTTGAATTATTTCACGTACAAAACAATACATTAAGTACCCTGAGGCCCGATTTCGCGATAGAAGCGTGATTCTTTCCAATATCTGAAGCAAATATCTAAGAACTGAAATCACATGAAAAATATATTCGTTTAAGAATATCCCGGATCATTAAAAAAATTCGGCAAAAATTTTAGAACCTTTAGCTCATTTACGACATAAAACATTCCAGGTTTTTGAAACGTTTCGTTTGGCGACTGCAATGCATTTCCTGCAGTTTTTCGAAAATAAAACTTCGCCCTATAAATGGTGTTCAACTGACGGATGTATATTGTATTTTAAACTACATTATACTCTGTGTAATTGGACAAACACTGGGACCGTAAAACACTGTTTGATTACCGATGTCAGCCCCTCTTACCTGCATCACTGACAGGAGGAAACCGGGTTGAAAAATCCGAAGGTATTATCTAAACCTATGCCGGGATTGAACCCTGGAACTTCAGGTTAGCGAGCAACCGTCTAACTCACTGAGTCAGAGTGTCGGAGTACTCTGTATTTGTATTTTCTTGTAATTTAGGTATAATTGGTATATTTGGAAATGCAACAGCCATAATGATGTTTTTCATAGAGAAACAATTCAGAACTCCAACAGATCTTCTACTTCTCAACCTGGCAATAGCTGATCTAGCCATGACTTTATTTTGTTTTCCATTTATTGTATCGTCAAATTATGCAACGGTTGGTATATTTCTTAATTTTATCTGATTCAGAATGCCCAGAGCGTTGTTCTTTAAAGACTAACGCCTGTTAAATCTACCAAAACTTGTCGAAAAGTGTCAAGCATCTCAATAGAAAGTAAACGTGGTGCAAAATTGGTATAAGAGATTATAACCTACATTATGGATTTCCAAATAATTGAACCTTGACGAATTAAGACCGATTTGAGTGGTCGGTGCGCTTAAGTAGTTTTTTGTCCCCATCACTGATAATCCCGCTGTTGAGAAACGCCAATCTGGCAATGTGATTGATTAACCGGATACAGATTTTGACCATAATCTGACTTATGTATATAACTTAGCTGTCTCTTCTCAGTATGGAATGGAATGGAATTCGACTCCGTTTAGTATCAGCGACTTGGACGACAGCTTGGAATGTCTCCAACAGATATCTTTTATATACATACATATATATATTTTATGTTTCCTTTGTGTCAAGAAGAAACGTCCAAACTTTTCAAAAACCATGCTATCATACATGTCAGATTGTCCATGGCCTTAAACATTTCCAGATTACCGTATATTAACGATTGGATTGACAATATTTTAAAAATATTTTCGAATATTAGATGCCATGTATTCTCGGCATGTTCTATATTTCTGTTCTGTATTTATTTACTGTTTATTAAATAGAAATGGTTATTTGGTGATGTTGGATGTCAAATCTACGGCTTTTTGGGCTTCCTGTTTGGAATGACTACACTATTAACTTCATGTGTAATAAGTATAGAAAGATATATAGTATTACGTCGGAAAATCAGTGGTATGTACAATGTTTCTGATATTTCGTATATGTGGGCCCTTGACCAAGCTAGCATAATACGATTTGATAATAGCCCATATATCTACTAATACTATTGTCTTGGCGAATAGAGTTGCCCCCCTCACGAGCCTTATAACAGGCAGTAAATCTTTATTTATCTTTAGACAGTCGGTATAATTGTGTCCACCATGCCAAATGGGTTTATTGAAACCTGATGCTTTTCTGAAATACGCCCATTAATGACCATTATCGAAAAGACACGAAGATTCAAATATCAGATTTCTGTCCATATGATTATTTCCGTTGTGCGATTTATAACTACATTTCTCTGAATTTTTACATTATCTCTTGTATATCAAGAAACATAGGTCAAATAACACGTCTTATTGATCCAACCTGAATTTTGAGACCGATGTGATCTTAAGAGTGAGGATTTAAGACAGCACGATAGTGCACATCAAGATGTTCAATTGTACTGCATCTGCAATACCTTGCAGATCTAAATGCAACCTGGTTTTACCTGCTATCTATCTAGTTGAGATCTAATGTGCTCTAAGCCGTTTACTCTAAAGATCCGTTGACAATTGGAAATGAAAAGGGGTCGACTAATTCCATTTTCCAATATAGTACATTGTAATGCCTTTTCCGTTCCAGAAGCATAAACGCTGGACGTAAAACTCCATATCATCATAATACATGTATATGTGTATGCTACGGCTTTACTCTTGATTACTCATATATTAGCATCTTACCGTCCCATTCATTCCATTTTTGTTGGATTTTACAGGTCGACGTTCAAATTATACAACAATTGTGGTTTTGGTAGCTGTGTGGTTTGTTGCACTATTGTGGAGCATATCGCCTTTAGTCATTGGTTCCGGTTATGCTTATGAGCCATTTAAGGTAGGTGCAATAATTTCTCATTACTTATAGGATATTACTTAAGAAGGTACGTTGATATTGATCATGCTGATTGCTTAGGGAATTAAGGTGTTTAAGGCAGGTAAATTTTTTTCATGTCGATTACTTATTGAAAAAAATGAATGGCCTAATACGCTTCCGTACGTATTCGACGTACGACAGCGCAAATTATTCATATAGGGTATAAGCTTGCTTAATCAGCATTATGTGACAGGGTCCAAAGATTAATATCAAATAGCATGAAATAACCATTGCGAAACAATTTGTTTTCATATTTTTCCTGCAATTGTCGAAGTTCATATATAATATTGTGCAACAAGAATAGATGGAAGTAAATGCCAATACAGCCAAACTTAATATATTATTCGCTCGAAGAGGTAACTCATTTTTGTAATGTTTTTTACAATTATGATAGCTATACAAACTAAATCCATTGCGAATGGTTGAATTGAACCAACTATTTTGGGTCATATTATTAAAGATTGTTCAGAGAAATATAATATCCATTCTGCATACGATCCATTATATTTCTGTCATTTACACAATTTACCATTCCAATTCCACTCTCAGTCGTATCGTCATTCTTTTAGCCTGTTACTGAGCAAACAAATTAACTCACATTATTCAATATTCCCAATAGACGACCTAAATCTAAATAGACACATGCAATTATTTTTGGTTTTAGCTGGTTTGTCGTTGTAATAAGCCGTCAAAGTCAAGAATTTTTGAAATAACTATATTGAAATTTGGTCTTAAGATATAAGAATGTCTAGAAATTTCCTTGCTAAAGGCTCCTTTGGTACTATAACCTTCATCTGCCTGAACTGAATTCCCTTAAATATAATCAAATTTACTGTACCAACTTAAGGTTTTGAGGGATTAAGTTGTCTAAAAAAAATCGCTTTATCAGTTGGTAGAACTCAATTATAATTGACGTTCATCTGTTTAGCTCTTTTGCAATTCGACTAAATTATTACCGAAAGCATAGGTCATAGGTTATTATTACCAGTTATAAGTTTGTAAATAGAAGACGAACTGTTAGTCGAAGTTTCAAGTTTTAAAGGGATAAGATTAGATGTAACTATGATCTTTCATTTCAGACTTCCTGTACGTTGAATTGGTATGACCATTCCTCCGTCGATCAGATTTTTATCATAATAGTAACGTCCAGTATAGGATTCTGCTTTTTAGTCATTATTTTCTGTTATGTCCAAATATACCGAAGTACCAAAATGACAAGGATATCTTCTACTCAAGATAAAAGAGAAAGATCAGTGTTAAGGGTATGTATATAGATGGAAATGGAATGGATTTTTTCTGTTCGCTATTTTTTAATCTCAAGTTCTACCATCTGGTTCTTGCTTACTTAACTGAATGTATTCTTCAAATCCCGATATTAGAAAAGGTGGAAAGGTGGCTGTCCTGCTTAGGATAATATATCTGAAACACTTTTCTGCCTTTCCTGTCAAATACCATATTATACAAATTCTATTGCACGTGTGAAAACGTAATGTCACACCTCGGTTCGGTTCACATTCCCATAGAACAAAGGCAGTGGGCTTTTTGTTTTGTTTGGTGGGATTACGTCTTCTACGCCTCATACTAGGCAATACTTGGATAAATAAACTAACTACCATACACAATCCTTCCATAATGATAGTTGCTATATAGCCCCATTTTTTCCATAATGATAAATATATCATGTTTTTTTTCAGGTTTGTGTGGTTGTCATATTTTCCTTTATGATATGCTGGAGTCCTTATGCCACATTCTCACTTTGGTATTCATATAGTGACACTTCCGGTATACCATTGTGGGTTACAGCTTTACCTGTATTAGCTGCAAAGTTGTTTTGTTGTATTAATCCTGTGATCTATCTAGTTGTAAGCAAGCGATTTAGGCAAAGGTATATCGAAGTTGTATGCCGTTCGTACAAGTATTGTGGTAAAAGGAATAGCATCACTCCCGAGAGGACTCAAACTCTCCAAATGAAAGTAGTTTCTTAATACTGATACGGAATGATAGGATTACTTATAAACGCAGATGTTATCAACTGCAATCCAGCTTTCAGATATTCAACATATTCTAAGCCTTGATTTATCATATAGAAGTCCAATATTCGTTCGTTGAGGAAATATGAATATCTGATTCCCTTTTCCGATAATTCTGTGATGGGTGTCTGACATAAAAATTTGACTTTTGTGACTGTACATACAGCAACAACGACAACTGGTTAAACGTGTCTAGTTATTCCAACATAGTTTCACATTATCACGTTTCTATGATTTCTATGTAATTGTTAGAGAATTGGTGTACATGATAGTTGCCGATGTGTATATATTATGTTGTTTCATAAGTGACTTTTATCAGTATGGTGTGGATATGATTTGTGTATAAATTATACGAGTTCTACGTTCAACGGCTCTGCCTTATCAGTTACTGTTCTTTCACCTGTACATAAGAAAGTTTGATAACCGCCTTTGACAAATTTCAATCGCCGCCAAGTTCCTCACTTTCCAACTAAATTGGATCTAGTCAATGACCTTACCAGTTGGAATTGGCATTTGTAGGTTTTGGCAATCTGTTAATTAGTCGATTTAATCGTCGACCTCTGACCCCCCCCCCCCCCCCCCCCCATAACCATGTTCACTCAGTATTCTAATCCAATGGACCTGTGTCAGATCAACAAAAAGTTCCAGTGTATATAATCTCGACCAGGTTATGATGGAGAGCGATTGGAGGAATAACGTGTATGTGATTGCTAAATGAATGTAGAGTTATTAATTTTTTTATTGTTGACAAATTATGCGATTGTTTAATTTCAATAAAGATGTATATAGATAGAACTGTTTTATTTGTTTGCATCTAATTACAGTCCCATTCCAGAAAAATCGTACAAACAATTTTTTTCTTAATTACTGTATTTCCTAGTGTAGGTCATAATTTTACAGTTAAAAGCACTGGAAATGTACGGAAATCACACAATTCCCACAAAAGTAACTCAAACTAGAAGTGTTACTCATAATGCCCCCCCAATCCTCTCCATGGCCCCCCGTAGAAACGCTACTGCCTTTTATAATCACTTTACGTCCACCATTCCGTCGACAATTGCTTCTGATTTTGACGAAACTTGATTTATGTTGTTTTGATGGAATTAAATTTACCCCCGACACTACAGTGTCTTTTACCATATTTGTATAGGCTTATATAGAGGACCGTTGCTCCATTTGTCAGAGTGCACCAAAACAATTAAATTTTTCGAAAAAAACAGTGCATGAGAGGCTTTCAACCATGCCGCGTTCACAGAGTTGCCGCATTTTGAATTCAACCTGGACAGATGCCCTCCCTCCCTCACTCCCTTCCCCTTATGAGTTAGTCTGTCCCCCTGTGTGTACCACCAATCCGGCAGTCTGGTGTCGTCATTGGACTTAGGGCAAGCGCTCTTAATGTTTTTTTTTCATATTGTATCAATTCCTCATGTATGTATGGAACGTTAAATTTTGACATAACCTGAAGTTTATAGAACCAAATAAGATAAATAAAGGTATTTATAATACATTATTTATTCCGAATCTAAGCACAAACTCCACTGTTCTGTATATGAAGATCTCTGTGTGTACATTTTTGTTTTTCATATTCACACCTGAAAAAATAATAAACAAACTGTTGAGTAAACAAAATGATTTCAAGAGAGGAATCCGCGAACCTAGGCGATAAAACTGCGTTAATTTGTGCACAATCGTTGTGAATATCACAGAAGACAGGTGTTGGAGGAATAATCCTCATATATTTCATATTAACAGTTTTCCTTTTCATGATCACATACTTATAAGTCCCTTTTATATCGAAAACTATATTGTGATATACCAACGACGCCTTTTTATAATACATGACACATGATTGTTTGCTCTAACAGGACGTCAACATGTTTGTCACCAAAACCAGTGATCTTTCCTAGGACCCCACCCCGCCCTTTTTAGAAAGAAATTGCCCAAATTTCTAATCAAGTTATGGGGCTGCGAAGGGGGGCTCCGCCACTGATGTTGGAATTTCTGTAAAATAACACGCAAAATTAGACAGTTTTCACCATGACCTAGTCATTGGACACATTTCATGACAACAACTTTTTAGAAAATATTATACAATAATATTTTATTATTTCCTCTGCGCATTTTATTTGACCATTCGGGCATTTCCGTTTAAAATGTGTAAACACTATAATGAGCATCCCATCCTTTTTCTATTTCTATAATCACAATAATATTTTCATATTATCTTCAACATTTTAGAGCGAGCTATTTCATGACAACGACCTCGAATTCAATGGATTCTAATAATAATATTTGTAAATTTTAATATGTTTTAATCTCCGTCCATTGTTTCCGTTATCAGCTATTTTAAGATCAAATTTGTTATAAACTATAACGACCTAACAGTTATATTTCTATTTCTATAAAATAATATACAGAATTATACAGTTTTTTTTTTATCTTGGACACATTTCATGACATCAACTTTAAATTCATAGTATGCCTATTATACAATAATATTCTATTATTTCCTCTGCGCATATCGTTTAACACTCCGTTTTGGGATTCAAACTGTTATTACATTATGACCAAACAATCATATTTTCTATTTATGTAAAATCGCATGGAAAATTAAATATTTTTTTCCACCACTTTAAATTATTGGCTTTAAGCATTTGAAGTTGGATAATCATGGTTATGTAGATTTTTGCTTTAATTGAAAACTTACAAGTTTTGATAAGTGACATTATCGGAGGCACAAACTTGATCTACAGTTGATGGACAAGTTTCGTGTGAAAGTTGAACACATAGAAAATCTAAAGCTGCCTGATCTCCATCAAAGCCAGGGATAGTATTGTTTGTATGACTTCCAGCGGTACATGGACCATAATGAGCTATATCTGTCTGTGTTCCCTGGCATCTTGCTTGAGTGTATTCGCATCTGAAACAAGAGTATAAAATTATCATGATCCACACCTTTCCCTTACCGCATAGTTGAAAAAGATGAACAAGGGGAAAGTTCTGTTCTGTGTTAAATTACAATATTCTGAGGCCCATGGCATCATGGCAGCTTTCTGTGGTCAGTATGTCTGTCTTTTGCTTGGTTACGTCGACAAATGGTGTCTGTGGGTTCCAATAAACCATGTCAACCAATAGACAGATCATCCTGTGCGTGATGTCTCATCTTCAGATTTATTTTTCCGCTAAGGTGAATTCCCTTTTTCATGCCAAATACGCAGTAGCTTCTGGGAATCTAAAGAATCGTGTCTTATACACATGAAAAATGATGCAAGAAGAGATAAGGGACATAATCACTAAAATATGCTCTGGATCCCATCAAAGCAATTCTGAATATCTGAAGAAACTACCTGTTTCTATAGGTGATCCCATTCTGACCACATTCTTCATGCTTACTGTAATTATTACAATCTTTATCTAAAGCTCTGCTACAGTAAAAACTGCTGAAGAGTCCATCAAACTGACAGTTGACAGCTTCAAAATAGAAATATAATAATAAAAATCAGACAATGAACAAAGTTTGTGCTTAAAAGAATTAAAACGTTTCATGTGTATTGGAATCACTGTGAGTATTCATTTGCATCATTTTAATTTTCCTTCAGGCATTTGTGCTTCTTGCTTTTCCATTAAAGCCTAACGTTTTATGATATAACTATCGCAAAAGCTGCTGATAACACCATTGGCCTATGAAAGAAAACGTTTACTTTTGCTGAAATATGCATCATATGTACCACGAACATTTGACCGAAAAAAATTGAATGTATGAAAGTGCAATGGGGATGTGAAACTGAACATGATTAAGGAGTATTGGATCAATCGCTGGATTTAGTAGATTTTGTTCACCAAGCTCACTCGACTACTGAAAAAAACTCTAGCAAAGATGTGCACTTGGAATCTGCGACCTTCCAATTTATAACAAGTTGCCCATGATGGATCCGAAAATATGTTTTACATGTTTTACGAGCTTATATTAAATAAACACTAGACGGATTACTGCAGTTCTAATTGCTCTACTACTGATGTATTGATCACTATTTTAACAGTAAAAATATTTTATCATTGTATATTATTTTATTATTAAATAAATTGTTGGCTTAAATTGTTTGCGAATGAGATGTTATATTCATAATCTGGTCAAGGCCTTTGATATATTTAAATTGGGATTTAATCAAGCATTAAGCCTTTATTTGATAATCGACACTTAATGGTTTTTTCCATTCATTGTTCTAATAATTTGCATTAATGGATTCCACTATATAACCTTACGTATTGACAACCTCTTTATTGCGAGAACAACCTAGTTTGCGATATCAGCATCCGCTGGAAGCGAACGTTAACTTGTCATCTACCAACCAACCAACCAACCTCTTTATTTAGCTTTTAAATACGGGCAATGACCTAAAGTCTGGAATTTATGATTAAAGTTGACGTGGCCAATATTTGTTTATTATTTTTCTTTTAGTCAATGTCCAAACGAGGATAAATCTGAATACACTTGGATTGAATGCTCAATTCTCGACGATGAGCAGTGAACACCATTACTTAGCAACAAAATTCTCGTTTGGATGGTAATTGAAATTTGTGTACGACTGTAAGATGTAGATACACAACGCAACACTGTCAACGAAAAAATCTAGTCACCTGTATACCTAAAAAATTGGAAAGTATGTGAAAATTCCATGGATGTTTTCAATAAAAGAAAACAGCACATTACCTGTAAAAGCAAGGCCTAAAAGGATCAATCGGTTCATGGTGGTGTTATGGTCAACAAAGTACTTGAACTAAACGATTGGGTCAAGCCCCTTATATTTATGAACGATAATTTCTAAGATAAGGAAAGATTGCCAGATATAAAAACGTGCCTTGGTTTTATGTCAATATTTAGGTCATGTGCGTCCGCACTCTGGTATGAAAAGTTTTTGGTTGTCAAGGCAAGAAAGATAACTGTAAGTCCATACCATGATTATAAAGATAGCTTGCCAGACAGGATAACATACACTCACAGACAGCTTTGTTTTGCAGCTAAAAATTGGACACGGACAATAGCTCATATAAATATATTTAGATTTTTTATTTTATTTTCGATGGGGTTATCTTT